CAGACTATGGAAATGATGGTGGCGTTAACGTGTAAATATATATATATATGTGTGTGTGTGTGTGTGTGTGTGTGTGTGTGTGTGTGTGTCTGTGTGTGTGTGTGTGTGTCTGTGTGTGTGTGTGTGTGTCTGTGTGTGTGTGTGTGTGTGTGTGTGTTCTGTGTGTGTGTGTGTGTGTGTGTGTTTGTGCAAAAAGACAGATGAAAGCCACGATCCGTTGGAAAGAAAACAGAGATGCCCAGTGTGGATCATGTTGGATTGGATTTTAAATTGTCCCAGTCTGAATGGTAGATTTGTTTCTTCCTCTATATATATATATATATAAGTAATTTATCGAATCTATATCAAATTGGGCTACTGGACGGCCGTTTTCCCATATTTGGATGATCAACAGTGCGATACATACATACACAGTCACACACATCACACACACACGATATATCAGACTATATATATATATATGTGTGTGTGTCTTGTTTACCGTGATTAGCCCGTTAGCGTTCCGATCATAACTGATTTACATTCCTAGGGATACGATCCCAGCGTGCAACAAAATTGGCAAGTTCCTGAAAACCATACAACAGGTTGACCCAAGCCTTTTGTGTGAAACTGGCCAGACGATGCGGTTCGGAAGCCTTTGATGGATGTGCTACCATGGATTTGAACATACTTGACGTGTTCAAACTATCGATAACGACAGTTTATGTTCTCTCTCCCTGGAACTTTAACTGTGATTCGCGCAGTATAATCACAGTATAAATGTAAACGTTGACTCTACGGGTCTTGAAGAATCACAAATATGGTTCAGCCTTCGGTATCTGAAAGATCTGAAGACCGCTCATTTTTTTTTTAAAAACGTATGGTCACGAGTAAGTTGTGTCTTTAGTTATTTCTGGCTTACATTCTTACTTTCAGCAGCTTTTTTCGGTAGCGACTGGGAAAAAGTTAATATTTATTTTTTTTATATATAACACGCACTCTTAACTTTCAGTCTTAACAAAGCTGGAAGACACTGTTTATTATACACGAATAATTGCAGTATGTTTGTGTGTGTTGTGTGTCTTCTTAAGAGGAGAAACAGGCACAGAAAAAAGTAGAGAATTATATTCTAATCAAAAATAGTGTTTAAAGTGTGTTAATCATGAATTACTTTTTCTGAAAATTGCGCTTTGAAGTAAGACGATAGCAAAAGAATAGATGGGAAATTTAAATTATGGCGAGCTGGAATTTATGACAATTAAATTACGTCTTGATTAAATTACTTTCCAACTCGATTGATTAACGAACAGGATTCACTTCTATTTCCTAATAATAAAAAAAAAATCTTCATATATTGTCGCGTGAAAAACACGTCATACTGGATAGCGAATAAGTGGACTGTTAAATTTGCATCGCTGAGAAGGAAGTCAACAGTGGATGCTAAAGGCGTAATTAATAAAGTATTATTTCGAGGAAATAAGAATTTATAAGATTTATATCTATTGTGGCCGTCACAGTGAAATAAAACAAATTTATGTTTTTGCTAAGTTTAATTCTACCCATCGTTGTTATTGTTCCATGTTTTTAAATATTTGGGCACGTTCTTGACTGATTAGAATGTTAGCGTTCCAACCATGATATCCGGGTTCGAAACTCACTGTTGTGTTGTCTTCCAGTCTGTAACCTAATAGGAAAATTGCTCTCGTATCGAGTGACAACTGACTTATTTGTAGTTTGACTTTATGCAAAATCTTCCCGGAAGGGAAGAGGTTTTATGCCCTTCGTAGTTCTTTGTCTTCTAACTGTAGTAGGAAAACTTTTCTCTCTCTCTCACACACACACACTCTCTCTCTCTCGCTCTCCCTCTCGAGGTTTGTAGCTGGTGCTTTTTATTGGGGATCTAGGCCTGAACTCATCTTCATTCTGATCTTCCAGCTCCATGTCGGATTCGTGCGTATTATCCGCCCTTGTTTCTTTCCGACTGCGTTCGCTTTCACCATCAGAAGCACTCATCCTTTCCTCCCGCTCAAGATATTCCCTCAATTTTTTTTACTTCTTGCATCTCAACTTCATCGTCGTCAATTGTAAGTGTTATTTGATGAGAGTTAGTCATGGAATTCTTTTTTTTTATGACGTGCGAAATTTCTGAAAACGTTAAATCCTCTAATTCCTTGGATAATGCCATGGCGGAGACCTTTCTAATGGCTTCACAGCGTGCCGAAACCAAAAGAAAATTGTAATCTCGCTCTTCCCACCTGCATCTTCGTTACCTTTTAATCTCTTGAACGTCGCCTAGACAGCAAAAACAACTAATCTCCGTTTCTACAAAATCCCTTTCATGCAACAATGTTAGAAATCTCTGTTAGCGACGAGATGTTGTGTTGCCTTCCAGTCTATAATATAGAAAGAAATGTCCTCCCATGTTGACTGACGGCTCACTTATTTGTAGTCGTTTAACTTTATGCAAAAAAAGAATAAGTCCATTTTGCATAACGCATCACACACACAATTGTTGAGTTGTCAAAGATACGACTTATCGCCTAGTGAGACGCTCACAGCGTGCTGCACATTTGGGAGGTGAATGAAAAGCATAGCACATAACATAAACTGTGTGAGTGAAATCGGGTAGACGAAGCTATTCGGAAGCCGTCGATGGTTATGTTAGCTCGAAATCACAAGTCATCGTGACTGAGATATTGAGCGCATTCACCTTGTTCAACGGCAGCTTATTCGCTCACTCTCGAAATCAGTAAATGTTGAGCATACTTGCAGTATATGCCACAACTACCCTATAACCTATACTGATTTTGTTATAAGTGCAAGTTACTTAAATCCGGAAAATAATTTTGAACTGTCAGATTTTCCTTTTCAGATAATAATTAACCCATAGATGGGGGAGAAGAGATGAATTCGTATCTTTTCCAGGGGTAATTATGTACATGTGCAGACATATACAGTAGCGACTAACTAGCCACCCTAGTAGAATACGTAGTCTCCCTAGACAAACGGATGTCTAATTTTTAATAAAATATCTTCATTTATATTTTGCGAGCAAGGACAACCAGTTTATACCTGGCAAACTCCATTAACTTTCACCCCACTCAACTCTTCACTGCGTTTCTGTAACATGGGGACGGTATTATCGTAATTAAAGCAATTCGATCAGCTTAATAAAATATTATAATTTGTAATAGTTATTACATTTTCAAAGTCCACCATTAAACAATGGCTAATGAGCCACATAACGAAATATACCATCCAACTTCTGATGAATACAGCACGTAACAAAATTAAACCGGAAATATGAAAAGAAGAGAGCGCTTTCGTTAAAGACACTGGAACAAGTAATGCAGTCTTTATATCGCATTTAAAATCCTATGTGTAAGCTGGTTCTATCCGTTTTATAAATTATGCAAAATTTACGATGAAAAAATTGTTTGAATTTCTAAGAAAACTTAATTTATATATATATATTATATTATATTATATTATATATTTATTTGATATATATATATATATATATATATATATATATATATATATATATATATTTGATGAATTTATTATATTATATATTTATTTGATATGTATATATATATATATATATATATATATATATATATATATATATATATATATATCTATCTATATTTCTCATGTTGTGTGTCTGTCGTGGGGGTTGTTACCTCACCCAGGCCGCATTTCTCACCCGATTCCGATGCGGTTTTCAACACAAGTTTGCAAATGGCTGCCGTAAGGACATGACAGAGCCCAATTTTTGAGTTCGGAATCAGGTTCCGAAAATATCGATAATCGAAAAAATTCTGCTTACAGAAGGAATGATCGCATTTCAACCAAATTTGACACCCTCTTAGAATCTACCATTAGAAGTATTGTCCAGAAGTTTCATGACCACGGACCCCTAAACAGCGCGGAAAATCGATAAAACCCAAAAACCGATACGCCCAGATTGCGTCTGAACCGCATGTCGGTTTTTAGCGAAAACCGAGTGGATTTATGAAGAGGCCATTGGGAGTGATCATGTGAAGTTTCAACTCTGAGCGCCCCCCAAACAGAGTGCAAATCGACAATCAGTCAACCCTTAAAAATGTTTTTTCCGGTTTTTTAAAGCTGATCGTATTGTGTTTATTTTGTTTAGTTCTTTTTTCGTAACAGATTTAATGTTTACTATAGAGCTTAGAAAAAGTTGGCAGTGTGATTTTGGCAAGAAGTAAGGCATGTAAAAACACCAGCACGGCAAAGGGCACTCCTCTAAAGGCAAGGAAGGGCAAAAATATTTTAAGTCAAGTGATAGCGATTGCAGTATTCGTCGTACTATTTTTGAATCAAGCACGGGCAACGCCGGGCCATGCTGCTAATATATTATATTTTATATTATATATTTATTTGATATATATATATATATATATATATATATATATATATATATATATATATAAAGCTATATATATTATATATTATATATATATATATATATATATATATATATATATATATATATAGATTATATATTTATTTGATATATATTTATTTGATAAAGCTATATTATATTATATATCCAGAACTTATATTATATATCGAGAACTTAAACCGGGAGCAAAACTCCTGTGCCTGGATAGAAAATTAATTTAGTAAATGCAGAGAATACAGAGAAACGTAAATAGTGATGTGCCTTCTCATTGCACATTTTTAACCTTAACAAATAGACGAACTCGAGAGATTGAATGATTCATTTATTTTCTACGGTTTAGCAACCCAGGTTATTTAAAGCCAAAAAATATTCTAGATTTTAAGATTTTTTGTCTTTTGGCGATAATAATGATTTAGTGATACCAGTCTTACTAATTAACCCCTCGCTGGGGGGGGGGAGAAGAGGTGGATTCATACTTTTTCCAAGTCTATTTGTGTGTAAGTAATTATAACGACCCTGACCGGAAGTAGAAATCTGCTTTTCCATTAACAATTTCAGGCCATTAACTATTACACCCCCCATATCAAAGCTTACAGCGCCTGATTTTCCCAAGTAGTCATTCATCTAGGTACTAACCAGTCTCGACGTTGCTTAACTTTGGTGATCCTACGGGAACCGTTGTTTCAAAATTATGTGGTCGTGAGACTGAACTTGAGAGAGCTAAATTATAAGTTTAAATAAATAAAGTGTGTCTCAAAAACTTAGATCGATTTTAAATGGGAGTTAAGTTTAAGCGTCTAATGATCTTTTTTTCTTTTCCTTTCAGATTTGGCTGATATTTGGGCGATATTATTTTTCACACATAATTGCTATGACTTAAATAACATGATCCGATAGGGAAATAAATAAATTTTCACCAATAAAACTGATTTATTTACTACTGACTTTGATCCGTCTTAATGAAACACCCTTATATATAATCCGTCTTAATGAAACAACCTTTACACATTGTAGTTGGACACAGCCCTAACAAACTAAGATACGCAGTTGATACAGTGTTGATAGCAAACATATAAATGAAACTATAGGAACTGCATTCGCTGGTTCCCAGACTCCATGAGTTCAAGCGCCCTACGAGGCTGGCATCCCGCTCTCACCCTTTCACTGTCGAAACTCCTAAATGTAGCCGTCTCTTCAACTCTAATAGCTTCATGTCTCGCACCTCTCGCCAGTGGAACTCCCTTCCCTATTCCAGTTTCCCTGAGAACTATAATCTACAGCTATTCAAATGTAATGTCAATCGACATCTCCAATTGCCTTGATCTATCCACTACCCTTCTCCTCATCCTTTGTTTTATCACTCCTATCTGGTCTTGCTATCTGATCTTCTGTAACCCCTTGCGTCCTAGTGGCTTCCCGCCTTGCTTGGGGTGAAACGCTTAAGAAAAAAAAAAGAAAAAAATAGAGAATTTTTGTAATTGGTTGATTTTGGCATTTTCAATATGGATGTTTGTCTCATCTTTTTCCTGACAGCCATACATTCTCTCTTCTTACAATTAATGTTTAGTTCTATTTTCACGCTTTCCTTTACTACTTTCTGTATCTTAGCCGCCAATAATGAATCCTACTAGGATTTCTAATTATCACTTCACTGTAGCGTTTGAATAAATCCGGTGAGAAGAAACATCTTTGTCTTAAACTTTATCTTTTTGTTTATTTACTGAACTAATTTTCTATCCGAACGTATGCGGTCGCATCCCAATATAAGTTCTGCATTATGCTAATATCCTACCCAAATAAATCTAGCTTATCTATCAGTTATTTGTTATATACATTGTAAATAAGCCGATTTTAATTGACCAAAAACAAAACAAAAAAAAAATATTCATCGCCTCCTGTGAAATATTATTTTTAGTTTCTTTATGTTGAGTAAAATCCTTTACCCAAGAAACAGGTTATGGATAAGTAGTAAAAATATAAATACGATTTGGATAAATTGAGTGATACTCAACATGTACAGTGTCTATATTTTACTAATACTCATCTGAATAAAGATGTATCCACGAAGTGTGATATTTTTGAATCTCTTGTAAACATAAGCTGCCAGGGATTTTGTTAATGTACTTGTCTGCAGTTTTTTTGGGGGGCCGTTTAAACCAGGACGCCAGTTAATATGACAGTTGTGTTCAGATGCCAGATTTTTCTCTGTTTCAATCTGTTTCAATTGTCAAATTTTTATATGCAACAATCTGACGGTGAAATTAATCTCACACTCGGAAAAAAAAATCGTTAGAAAGAAACACATTGTTCCAATGGCTAGTGGATATTCCCCTGTAGCGGTTTGAAATAGAAGTAAACTTCAAACACTCAAGGCAAATCTATTTCTTGAGGTAGATGATGACTGTTAAAATGGTTATGATGAATAAAGGGTTTAGTATGAATAGAAGAGGTGGTGTTAAGAATTATGACGCTTATCAGGGCATGGTGGCTAAAGAACGTTTGACCTTTGATTTAAAACTGTTGTATAAGAGTAAGTGTCGTTGCCGACAATGTGGTTTGAAACTAGATCGCCAATGAGTAACGATTCCATTATTAAGTAGACCACGTGATCATAAAGGAAGGGTATAAATGCAAAGTATTTTTATTTCACACGCTAAGTGCTATTCAAACTCTCTGCCTCTGGCTATGTCGAAGGGCAGAGTCTCGTCTTGGTAGACAGCTAGCCGACCCCGCTTTTTACGGGGTCTATGTGGAATTTTTGGCCGAGCCTACGTGCTCGGATACCCTACAATAAAACTCATCCTTGTGCCACATCCGACCGTATGGGGCGGTTAATGAAATATCTCGCTCTCTACTCTACTAGTATACGGATTACGATTCTCTTCTGATCATTATACTATTTGGCAATTACTACTTGAACAAGTATTACTTGTGCGGATATTATTGGAAGGCGTTAATCTAGTACCGGCGTCTACGAAGTCTCGAATATACGAGTTTTCGCTTGACATAGCAAAAGTGACAAGCGAAGCCGACCAATATCACAAAAAATGTTTAAGATATTAGTATCGATAGTTTGTTTGATTAATTTGTTTGTTCTTTTTTACGGTTCATCAACACTTTGTGAGTTATTTACACCGAAACATATTTTGGATTGCAACTCTTATTTATTTGCAAGTGAATAATGCATTAACTATTTTTAAAAAAATAACAACGATTTTTTCAGATTGTTAACCCATAGCGTAATTTAACAGATTAATAAGTATGTTCAAAATCTCTGTAAAACTGTGGATTTGCGTAATACGATTCTTAGAGGAAAGTTAGCGATGAATATTTTAATAAAAGAACATTAAATGAATTAAAAAAAAAAAACACACGGAGATTGGGTAATACTAAAGAGAGAAGTTAGCGAGAAGACACTTATTAAATTTAAACGAATAAAAATCTGTATAGAGATTTGCATAATATTGTAGAGAGATGAAAGTTAGCGAGCAGTTGCTTAATGAAGTGAAAGCAAACATAGGTGTCTCTCCCTCGAACTAACTGACTATAAAAGACATGGTCGGCACTTATTTATGGGCAGTAGTAAAATGGCATTGAATAAAGCTTCACTACAAGCTTAAGCGTTGGTTTTTCTTTACAACGATTAGGAGAAGTAAATTAATGAATACTCTCTGATTAAATTAACACTAATTGAATCAATAAAGATATGAGGAACTGCGTAATATGACAGGCAGATGTGTGTTGGCGTAAAGTCGCTTATTAAAAGAACATTAAAATAGATAGGGGGATACTAGTAAATGAACAGCTGCTTATTTAAACAAAATAACACTCCAATTATAAACATTTAACGAATCAATATATATATATATATATATATATATATATATATAATAAATATAATTGATTTAAAATATGTTTTTTTTTCGCTACACATTTCTAACCATGTTTCAAAAATGGAAGCTAAAAGTCCCGAATTTAATTTCGTAATTAAATTAAAGACATAAATAAAAAGTATTCTAACCTAAACACCCCCCAAAATCTTTAAATATACAAATAGAAAAAAATGCCGTAAGAATTTTTGCCGTTAACAATAAAATTAAAAAAAAAAAATCCACACGATATGCATTTAACGAATGTTATATTTCATTGAAAAATACATCCCTACCCCCTACCAAAACGTAACTAATAACTGATACATTAAAATAACGACATAACGAACACGCAGACGCCCCTTGTCTAGTGAAAGTCGATTTATCTGTAACCTTGGAAACGTGAATTATGACTTTAGCTGTGTCTTTAAAACCCAGTACTTTTAAAAGTTACTCCAAAATTCGCTTGACGATGAAATGGAACTAATGTCTTTAATGTTTGATGGATGTCAGTTATAAGTTATCTCCTGCTAATTTTCCCTCTGAAAGTTCTCCACTGCCTTAACCAGGAATTGAACTCAACTTTTTTTGGGTCTGTCACTGGATCTAACCAACGCCTTTATCCACAGTGCCACGTACCTCAATTTCGACTCCCACCATCCATACAGCGTAAAGAAAGGGATCGTCCGATGCTTACAAAACCGAGCAAAAGTCATAAGTGGCAATCCAGAGACGTTAGATAAGGAATTGGTCAGTATAAGTAGTACCCTACAACGTAACAATTACCCTGGGTAACTGACAACCATCAAACATGGCACGTGGAACTAGAACAGTCTACCCCAGTGATCGAAATAAAGGGTTCAGTTCGAAATTCCTACCACCTGAAGAAGGCCGGAGCGTACAACGGCCGAAACGTTGTGACGAATATGGCGACAAAGATGAGGACAATAGTCCGACTAATGTAAATACTGTACATAATACCTCATCTCAGAAATATAGACATATATATGTATATTTATATATAAATAAAAAGAAAGAACAGTAAGATGTATAATCCGGTGTTCTTATAGATATTTTTTATTTTTACAAAATAGTGCTCAATGTAAATTTACAGAGCATTAAAACATGAAACATTTGAAACATGGTTAGAACTTTGTAGCGAAAAAAAACATATTTAAATAAATCAATTTATAATATATATATATATATATATATATATATATATATATGTACAAATATATGTATGTGTGTGTGTGTGAAAAATATATGTTTACATGTTTGATTACCACTTTTTATTTTTGCTAATTCAGTCGCAATTATAAGAAAATTTAGTTTTTTTTTCCCTATATATATATATATATATATATATATATATATATATATATATATATAAATAAATACAATACACACATATGTATATATATATATATATATATATATATATATATATATATATATATATAAGAAACTTCGATCGTTTTTTCCATAATGCCGATAACACTAACCAACAGCTTATTCTGAAAATGGAAAAATTCAATAAAATATAAACTCAGGCCTTTTTCTTTGTAGTGAAATTTGTTTGGCTATGTATGTATGTATGTATGTATGTATCGATCTATTTATCTTTCTATATATAATTCAATTAAAAATCCTACTTTTGATACAATATAATAGTGGTCAGAAAACTTAAATTAATGAAGAAGTACTTATTACAATTTTAAAAAGCAAAAATCTACAACAATTTAAGACATAAAACATGAGGAAAATATTTAATTTATGATATATATATATATATATATATATATATATATATATATAT